ACCCTTCAGGGCGCGGACCGACGCTCTAACCACTGAGCAACACCAGCCAGGGCCAGACCGGTCCCGTTTTCCATTCCTTTCCTATCGCAATGAATGCCCTTAGGAATTGCAAAGCCAGTGCTTTTTGCTAATGCCGGAGGAATTTCCTTAAACTAGGAGATGGTGCCATTACCCATCAATTTTACCAGCAGCAGCGCAGCCCCCGAAAGGCTCAAGCGGAGGCAGAAGGCAGAGCGCTTTATCACAGTGAGGGAGCTGGGCTGCTGCTGGGGGGCCGTCCTGGCATCACGCTGGTACTGCCCAGCGCTAATAAGCTGTGTTCATCTTCCGTGACACTAGAGGTCCGGCTCTGTCCTTTGCTTCAGCTTCTTGTTTATTATGCAGCCCGGGCCGCGGATCTAGGCTGCCTACTTGTCATAAATTGCAGGCCATCTCCATTTTTTCTGTTCTTGGTCCCAGGGGGCTTATGCCCCTGGGAAGCCAGGCTCTCTGGGCTCTCCAGTCCCACGAATGCACAGGGAGCCCGGAGGCTGGCCTGGGCCCTGCTGAAATTCCACGATGCGCGAGCCGCAGGTCCTCCCTTCCTGATGACATTGTGGTCAGGGAGACGGTCACAGGGACAAATAATTACACCAAGAGGCAGAATGGGTGACAGAGGGAAACGCACGCTGCTGTGGGAAACTAGGAAGGTAAGGGGCAACTTTCAGTGGGAGGACATCAGGGACAAAGGTTCAGCACTGGGAACCATTAGACGATGCAGCCATCTCAGCCTGGAGTTGGCAATAACCGAGGAGGAGGAGCCTGTATGTAGAAAGATGATACATTTTAATTATTATACAGCAGAATGACCTTGTTTAGGGGTACATAGTTCTGTGAATATTAACACATTGATAGGGCCCTGTAGCTACCACCACAATCAAGATGCAGAACAAATTGACCACCCTAAAATAATCCCTCGTGGTGTGGCTTTACATTCATCCTCTCCCTCTTCCAATAACCCCTGAAAACCGATGACTTATTTCCATCACTATAGCTTCGTCTTTTTGAGAATGATGTATGAATGGAATCATACAATTTGCAATATTTAGATATTGACCTTTTTCACTCAGCATGATGTCTTTAAGATTCAGCCACGTTCATGAACACAGCATCAGTGATTCGTTTTCATTGCTGAGTAGTGTTCCATGGTATGGATGTACCACATTTTTTATCTGTTCACCTAGTGAAGGACATTTGGGTTGTTTTCAGTTTTTGCTGATTGAGAGTAGAGCTGCTATACATATTCATGTACAGGTTATTATATAATGTAAACTAATTTTTCTTTCTCTAGGGCAGAGTTTCTCAATCTTGGCACTGTTGACATTTTGGGCTAGGTACTTCTTTTTTATGGAGGCTGCCCTGTGCTTTGTAAGGTATTTTTGGAAATATCCCTGGCTTCTACTTAGTAGATGCCCATAGATTCTCCCAGTTATGACAAACAAAATGCCTGCAGACATTGTCAAATGTATGTTGGGGGACAAAAATCATCCACAGTTGAGAACCGCTGCTTTAAGGTAAATACCTAGGAGTGAATTTACCAGGTCACATGTTAAACAAGCATGTTTAACTTTGTAAGAAACTTTACATTCCCAGTGTATGAGATCCAGTTGTCAGTATCCTCACAGGATATTTTTTATTTTTTGCCATTCCAGTAGGGATGTAGGACTGTCTCATTGTGGTTTTAATTTGCATTTCCCTAATGGCTAATGATATTGAAAACCTTTTCATGTGCTTTCTTTGCCACCTGTATGTCCTCTCTAGTGTAGTCTGTTAAAATCTTTTGCCCGTTTAAAATCCTTGTGAGCCTGGTAAAAGCCAGCAATTGGGAACGAAGCCTGGCAATGGTGTCAGCAGTCAGGGCATCGTCAGGAGCTCTGTGGGGCCAAGCGGGCTTGGGCTTGAGTCAGATGGACTGGACCAGAGGCTGGTGACCATCTGTCACGGGCGTTAGAGATGGGATTTGTGCTGGATAGCCTCTGTTTGCCTCTCCAGCTCCACCCTCCACCTGCTCGGGGCCCAGGAAGTCACTTGCATCAGTAGAAGCCTTGTCCTCTGGGTCCAGTTAGGTTTTGAACAGGAAGCTCCAGCTAGAGACTGGAGAGGTCGGGGTGGGGGTGGGGGTGGGGAAAGAATGCGGCAGGAAGGTAGGAATATCCTTGCCCCTGCTGCCTTCCTGTGGGATCACTTTGGGATTCCTGTGTTCCTGGACTGAAAGTCACAGCTCCTTTTAAGGTGCCTCTCCCTACACCTCTCTCTCTTCTAGGATCCAGTAGCCCCTCTCTTCCCTCCTCGTTGCAGACCTACCTCTGCAGAGGCACTAGCTCTGGGGTGCCCACTACCCCTGTGGCTCTCCCACACCTTCACAAATTAGTTATTAAACTCCTCTCCGGTCACCCTAATGTGAACGTGTCATCTGTTTCTTAGTCGAACATTGGCTAACACGGGGTTCTGGATTGAGTGAGAAAATGAACTAGATTATTTCTTTTCTTTTAAAAAAAATTTATCTTTATTGTTGAAAGTATTACAGATGTCCCCCCTTTTCCCCCCCT